GATGCTGCTTTGAGGAGCCAAGGGGAGTTAGGACCAATACTGGGAATAGCACTGCTCCTGGCTTCTGGAATTCTGGCTTTGCTTTTCTCTGAAGTAATTAGACTTCCTGAACCTTACACACTGGCTCCATCTGTATATTGGGAGAGCCTGTCCCTCTCAGCCTTACAGTAGCAAAATTAGAAAGCATGGAGTCCATGTTGTTCTTTGAAAGAATAAATGTACCAAGTCCATGCATTTAGATTTCTCTCTTGAGATCAGTCCTTTTGTTAGCAGCCTGCAATTCTGACCATGGCAACAAAAAAATCAAGTGCAAGGAAACCTAGGGGTTGATCTGGGGGTGGGAGAGAATGTCTGTTACCCTAGTAGTACTATGTCTGTCTACGTTGTCTTTCCATTTTTTTCTGATTGTCCCCTTGCCCCTCCCTTTTCTGGGGGTACAAGGGCATAGCAGTTTTGTTTCCTAGCTTTCCACGTTCCTACCGCAGTGCTTTCTTCAGAATATTTGTTCAGATCAGGTTCTTGGCCATGAGGACAGCCGGCTGCTTTCCTGTTTCTTTAAAAGTGGATCCCAGACTCCTGTGTCCTGGAGTGAGTTGTGTGTCCTAGAGACCATCTAGCAGTGGTGACTCTGGGAGTGGCCTCTGCTTGGTGTGGGGCCTCCGCAACTTGAGGTTGTGGGGGCCTCTGCACTGTGGGGTCAAAGGAGATGTCATGACCCTTACTGGCAGAAAGTGCAGAGCCCCAGAGTGGGTTCCACTTACGGGATAAGTGGCTTCTCTGAGATATTTCTCGGAGCCACATATAAATTCTTTTTCATATTGTTTGCATAGTAATTGGCTTCTAGTGCCTATCTTATAGGACTGAGAGAATTTAAATGAGATAATCCATGCTACACAGCCTTTGGCACACAGTAAGTTTTGAATGTAAATGTTAGCTATTATACTGGAAAGAAGGCTCTGTTCCTTGATTTAGGTGCAGGAGAAAAATGATTTTTTGTTTTCCGAGATTGGGTTGTGCTCTGTCACCCAGGCTGGGGTGCAGTGGTGCAGTCACAGCTTGTTGCAGCCTCCACCTCCTGGGATCAAGCGATCCTGCCACCTCAGCCTTCCCAGTAGCTGGAACCACAGGTGTGCACCCCCATGCCTGGCTCATTTTTATTTTTTATTTTTTGGTAGAGAATGGATCTCATTATGTTGCCCAGGCTGGTCTCAAACTCCTGACTTCAAGTGATCCGCCTGCCTTGCTTCCCTAAAATGCTAGGTTTATGGTCGTGAGCCACTGAACCTGTCCCTGAGAAAAATAACTTTTATAACAATTTAATTTCACTCTCTTATTTTATAAGGCATTAAAATGCTGTGCTCTTTCCTTGGGCTTGCATCTAAATTAGAAGGGGCAGACATAATCCCGGTGTGCTGGAGGAGGCCTGTGGGCCTCTGAGGCATCTGCTGACAGGTTCACCATCCCGTCTGGTCCTAGGTCTGAGGGAAGAACAGTAGTCTCTGGGTTGTTTTGGCTCTGACCGCCTGGATGGACTTGAAGCCATCGCTCTTTGGGATCCTGGTGCCTCCCTGGGCATGGGGTGCAGGTTTGCTTAGGTCTCAGACCCGCACATCTTGGGCTTGGTGACTCCTTGGACCCATGGGAAACAGAGCTCACAGCCCCTTTCTTAGTGTTTGCTCTGTGTGTGCGTGTGTGTGTGTGTTCTTAGTGTTTGCTGTGTGTGTGTGTGTGTGTGTGTGTGTGTGTGTGTGTGTGTGTGTTTGGTAGGGGGCAGGATGGGAGTGACTGCCCTAGCTATAGTCATTCCTATTTCCAAGCATTTTGTTCAAATTACTCTGAAGCCCTTTGGTTTTTTGGAAAAAGCAAAGCTGAAACTCTGGGCCGTGTGTTTCCCACCTCACTTATCCCGTGCTTGGGGTCAATAGGATCGGATGCCGCCATACAGGGCGGGGTGGTGGGCAACACCCACCTGGGGGCAGCAGTGAGAAGGCAGGGGATTATCCTGCCTATAAAGTGGCTGGAGTTGGTCTGGTACAGTCAGCTTGGAAGTGTCCTTCTCTACATCGTGTGCCTACCGAGTGTCATTAGCCAAAGTCTGTTAGGCCAAGTAGGAAGGAAGGGAGGGGCTCCGGGGCTAGGTAAGATCAATCATTGCAAGCACTTACTTAGTGCTCACCGTGTACTCTGCTTTATCTGTTTCCTTTGAATCCTCCCAACCACCCAATGAGGTCAGCCCTTCTGCTTTGACTGATGGGGAGAGGGAGGCAGGTGGTCCACGGGCTCACAGGTAGGCAGTCAGTGGCAGAGTGGAGATTGGAACCCAGATGTCTGCCCGTACCTGGGCTCCAGCCTGTCTTGGAATGGGCCTGGCCTGGCCTGCCCTGTGCACCCTGAGTGGGACGCAGACAGATCTGAAGCCCATCTGCCTGCACCCCTCTGTTTCTGGCTGAGTCCAGGTGGTTCTGGCTTTGGCCACTGCCCGAACGCTGGTTGGCACCTGGCTTCCCCTCCCTTTGCCCTGATTTCCCTCTGCTGTCTCTGAATGCAGGTCTTTCCCCTCCCAAGTCCCGGCACCTGGCACAGCTGGAGCCCTGGGGTCCCTGGGGCAGCTGCGCTGGGACGTGGCCAGTGTCGGGAGCCGGTGTGTGTGACAGAGGCTGGGCCGCATTGTTTCTGGGTCAGTAGTTTGGCATTGACATCACCAGCCTTTTGCTGGATGTAATATCTCTTGCTCAGACCACAGGGGAGACTTGTTGTTAATCACCATCAGCCATGCCCACACTCCACCACCATCTCCACCTGGGGAGACCCCTTCACAGCGGGTCTTGTGGGAACCAGAAACTGTTCATAGGGGAAAGTCGGCTTCCTTTTCCGTATTCCATCCTTCTCAAGGCCAGTGGCCGCTGTCGTCCTGCCCTTGGCTTGGCTTTGCTGATTTTAACAGTATCTTGTGGAGGTGACCCCTTTCCTTAGAGGATGCTTCTTTAACACTCTCAGAGAGCCTGGGGCGGGAGCTGTCCACACGAGGGCCTGCAGCAAGGGCCCATCTTCCCCAGAGTGACTCAGGAGTGTCTTCTTGGCCTGCAGCTTTTCCACAGGGTGAGAGACACCTCCTGCTCTCCCTTGAGATGAGGCCCAGTCCAGGAGCTGGGGGCGTTCAGGTGCACATCCTGAGACCCCATGAAGGCCCCCGGGAAGGACTGCATAATAGAGTTAGGAAAACTCTTCCCTACCCCTTTTTGCCCTTCTCCTTTTCCCCTTTTCTTTTTCACCAGTTTTTGAATAACATTTCAAACTTCAAAGTTGCAGAGGCCGGGTGCAGTAGCTCATACCTGTGATCCCAGCACTTTGGGCGGCTGAGACAAACAGATCACTTGAGGCCAGAGTTCGAGACCAGCCTGGCCAACATGGTGAAACCTGTGTCTACTAAAAATACAAAAGTTAGCCAGGCATTGGTGGCGCACAGCTACTCAGGAGTAGGTAGTCACAGCTACTCGGGAGGCTGAGACACAAGAATCACTTGAACCCAAGAGGCAGAGGTTGGCCACTGCACTCCAGCCTGGGTGACAGAGTGAGACACTGTCTCAAAAAAAAAAAAAGAAAAGTTGCAGGAGGGTAAGCAACTCCTGAGTACCCTCTTCTCAGATGCACAAGTCGTTTATGTTTTGCCCCCTTCTGTTCTCTCTCCACCCACACACAAACTCATATATGCACACAGGCACACACATTTTTTCTGAACCATTTGAGAGTAAGCTGAAGACATCACACCGTTTTATTTGCTCTGTATACTTCAATGTATATTTCCTAAGAACTAGGACCTTCTCTCATGTAACCACAGTATGATAGCCAAGTCAGGAAACTGAACATTGGCACAACCATGTGATTTAGCTCACAGTCCATGTTCAACCTTCAGTCATCCACATAATCTCCTTTACAGCTAAATATTTTTTGGGAAGGAGTTGTGCAGTGTGGGGGTTCTTTCTAAAGGGCCGTAGTCTAATTTTCTACCTCATAAGCCTTTTTAAGAAAAAGTGTTTCTAAAAGTTAGAATGCTTATTGTGAAAATTTTGGAAACTACAGAAAATTAAAAGAAGGAAAAAATAAAAATCATTCGTAATTCCAGCTCGGAGGCTGAGTGATCGACCAGGTAAATGGCTTGCAGAAAGGTGGTAGCAAGACTTTCTCAGCTCCTTCAGCTCTGGTGACCTGGCTGTGCAGACCTGTGGTCCCTTCATCACCCACACCAGGCAGGAGCCCTGAAGCTGAGTCCTGCGGCTGTGGGAGGAGCCAGCTCCTGTCTGGAGCTGACATTCTTCCATGCTCCTGCCCGCCCCTTGGGCAGGTGCCCACGAAGCAGGCAGACTTAACCAGCCTTGGTGGTGCCTTGGTGGTGCCTTGGTGGTGCCTTGGTGGTGCCTGTCCTCCAGGTGGGGAAGGGTGGAGATCGTTACTAAATATCCAGAACTTGTTGGAGACTTGAACTGTTGCAGGCCCACTCTTGTCTAGTTTCTACCTCTTGCTTCCTGGACTTGGCAGAGGTTAAGGCTGGGGCCTGGAGCATGAGTGAGAGAAGCATCACTGGCCCCGAGTCAGTGACCTCTTGGCTGCTTCGGGCGGTTGTTAGACTTGCCTTTTAATGAGCCTCTTGGCTTCTACCAGTGGGCTATAGAAGAAATAAAATGTGAAATTCTACCACGTGAGGTTTGCTATTTGCTAATGACTGTGCTTCTCGAAAGTTCCGAGGGAAAGGTTTTAACACTGGTGCAGGTAGTGAAGTTTGGATCTCGCTTCTCGGCTTTGTCTGCTTAGGTGGTCTTTTGGCCAGAACAGACGTAACCGAGAATGGGTCTCCCCTTTCCTGGCCCAGAATGGGTCTTTGCTGTGCCAATCTGGTTTCTGGAAGGATTTTGTTCTTAGAAGCTACTACGTCATTGTCTTCAGCTCCCCATCATTTGTACCTCAGTTTTCCTGAGCTGTAAATCTACGTTATGTGTGAAAATGGGCCTCTGAAGGTCATGATCAAAAGCCTTGAGTATTTTTCCATTTTCCATGTGTTTGTTTTTTCTACTCCGGCCCCAGACCCTCTCCTTGAAGGAGCTGGCCTTGAGAGTGACTTCGGTGGGCAGCCGCCCAGACTCCACACACCCTGCTGAGTCCACGTAATGCCCAGCCTGGACGGGCCAGGGCTGAAGGACTACTCTTCAAAGAAACCCTTTGAAGTGCAAACATTTCCTTTCCTGAAAAGAAGGGAAATTGAAATGAAAACGTATTGTTCTGTGTAGACAATGTTCTCTTCGATCAAAGAGGGAGTGGGGCTTATAAAGGGAGATGCACAAATTAGAGCTTGGTGTGGCCGCTGGTGTGGATGTGAATATTCATCCCTTTGGAGGAAAACAGTGGGGTCTCTGAGATTGGTAAGATTGTATTTGCCTTTTTTTCTTTTTTTTCCTTAAGGTCCTGAATCTAGGTCTAATGTTCTATTTGATCATGTCTCTCCTTTGTGTTTTTGTCTCCTGGTAAACAGTAAATCATGATCCTATTTCCATGTTAGAATATTATGTAGCCAGTAAGAATGGTGTTTTCAAAGAACTTGGAATTTATGGGAGAAACTTCAGTGTTAAAAGCGAAACCATCTGGGTGCAATTTTCCATATTTGGTCTTATCTTAATGAGATATGTATCTGCACAGAAAGAAAAGACTGGTAAAATTGGACTTTGTTTTTCTCACTGCAGTGTTTGTGGCACCTAAAATAGTGCTCAACAAATACTTATTGAATGATTATTTTAATAATTAGTAAACTATTTAAAGGAGGAATGTCTTTGAGCTGATGTTTTGGCAGGTGGATGGGACGATATATTACTTTTAGTTTCGGTTGTAATTTTGCCCTGGCAGCTCAGTTCTGGTTGATTTTGTTCTTTGTACACATATGTACCCCACTTTGCACTTTGGTACAAATTATACTGTAAATGGGTGACTTTAACATGTATATTTTTGGAAGAATCTGGTCTGATTGAAATCACAGTATCAGAATGTTGCCTTTTTCCTAATGTTGGTGATTAGGTAGCTTCCCAGATGGAGTACAATTACAGCTTCCTCTTACCTGTAGCTAAGGAACCTTTGGGCCAGCTTGTCCTGTCCTGTGGTTGAGAATTTTTACCTGATTTACCCAAGGTTTCTTATTCTTGAGCATCCAAGGCTACCAAGTTACACTGTTCATATGTCATCCTGGTTTCTAATGTATAGTTGTCTAAAAACATAGCTTTCCATTCTTACCTGTACTGTAGGTTTGCTTGGAAGATGTCCATCCCTGGTCTCAGTGGTCTCGTTTAGGGAGTCTGAACTCCCTGCAAGGACTGTCACAGCTGTCCTTCCCTCTCTGGTGAGATTGTTTCATTCCTCCTTCAGGCACTTAGGATTGAGAGCCCTGTTGGCTGCCTCTTCTGTACTGTCAGCCTAGCACAGGGTTCTGGAAGCCTGGTGTTGGGAAAGCCTTTCTCTGGGTTATTTGGGATGGGGCTACTGGTTTCCCACACACACTGGTACTCACTGCGTGTTCCTGAGGATGGCAGCTTTTAAACTTCTTTGACCACAATCTACAATAAGAGCTAAATTTAAATTGTGATCAAGCACATACACAGAGGTACACATATTGATAAATAGATTAAAATGAAAATTTTTATGAAACAGTACTCATTTTTACTATCTGTGGTACACTGAGATAATTTGTATTCTTTTCTATTTCATTACAAGAAAAATTCCTGGTAGCAACTTGGAGTTTGCAAAACACACTAGGTTTGGACATACGAGCCACACCTCACCTGCAACTCCACCAGTGTCCTGAGTTTCATGTTTACTGCTGACACTACAGGTTGGTGGTCAATTCTCCATCCAGACCAGTTTGGGCAAAGGAAGCTGGGGAGTCGAGGTTTCTTTTTGTGGTCATTTGAGAGTTTCTGACTGAAGGGGACATTATTTTCTGTAATGATGTCCAAGTAGGTGAGTAGGTTTTCAGGGCAGACCTGTGTGAATTCCCCATTGTGGTTTGCCTGTGCAAACTGTGGTATCTGCCCTTAGCGGACCTGACACGCTGGTGTCTCAAAGGTGGCCTGGTCAAATTGTGTGTGAGTTTTTGGAATTGGCCATATATCTGTTACTTTCAGTGCTCTGATGTTCTTTGAGTTTATTTTCTTCAGTGTGATTTGACGAAGAACCTATCTGAAGGAGTTAAGGATTTTGGGGAAGAAGAGTGAGAAGAGATACTCATAGAAATGTTATTATTATTTTTTACTACATCTGATGGGTTAAATTGAACAGTATTGAAAATATGATATTAATAATAGCAGTCACACCATTACATAGTTCTTCTTGAAAAGGTTGGATGGATTTTTGCTTAAGAAATGCTTGAGTGTTTTTTTTTTCTTAGAAAATAAATGTTCTTTAAGTAACAAGGCAGTGTATATAATTCATAAAACAATTGTAAATCAAGGGAATTGACTCCGCCTAACAAAGGAATAGTGACATAACAGAACTAGAACAAGATAAATTGCCTCGTTTATTGAAGCAGTGTGCAAAGGTCTGTCCTTGTTCTTTGTAAGTTTCTTTTATTTATTATGGTTCTCAACAAAAATAAATAGGTTGTGAGAATTCAGAGTACTTAATTTACAATATTCTTAAAAATTCATATAGAAGTTACAAATATTGGCCAGGTACTGTGGCTCACCTGTAATCCCAGCATTTTGGGAGGCTGAGGTGGGCAGATCACCTGAGGTCAGGAGTTCAAGACCAGCCTGGCCAACATGGTAAAACCCCATCTCTACCAAAAATACAAAATTAGCTGGGCATAGTGGTATATGCTGTAGTCCCAGCTACTCAGGAGGCTGAGGCAGGAGAATTGCTTGAGCCCAGGAGGTGGAGGTTGCAGTGAGACAAGATCGTGGCACTGTGCTCCAGCCTAGGCAACACAGCAAGACTCCGTCTCAAAAAACAAACGAAAAAGAACTTACAAATATTACCATCACCATTGTTGGTATTTGAGAAGAAACCTCGTGAACTTGATCTTATGCTATTATATATGTTAATGTTTGAAATAAGGGATGACTTTGTCATTGCAAGTGTACTCCACTTCCCCCACAAATCTCTAACCTCTCATATTTAGCAGTTAGTTTTTTCGTTTTTGTTTTTTTAACTTTTGTTGGAAGACATTTCTTTTTCAGAATGCTTTCTTTCCAGAGGGCAATCGTGGGAGAAATTAAGCAAGCGCATTCATTAGTTCCTTGAGTAATTTTATTGAACTGGGAAGAATGGCTGTCTGGCTGGTCTCAGAGTTTGATACAATTAGAATTTTACAAAATTATCAGATCTAATTTGTGCTGGGATTCAGGCCTAATTACCCAAAGACTGTGTGGTCAGGTGAGTCAAGGTGAGGGCACTGCCATCTCATGGGAGATTTTGGGTAGGGCAGTGCTCAGGGCAGAAGAAAGCTCTCCACACAAATCCAAATCACTTTCCTGCAGCTCCTGGCTGCCTGTGAGTGGTCCTGTGTGGAGCACCTGCAAGGGAGTTCTTGCTGAGTCACCCTGCGTAGCCTTTGAGTTGCTGGAAGAGTTGAAGCCTACTGGGGCTGCTGGCCTTGACCCACAGAGGTCCCAGCAAGGGTCTCTTTCCAGCAAATCGTCCTGTTATGTGAAGGAAGAAAGCACCATTCTGCCCTGGGGGGCACTTGAAAGTAGGGAGAGAGGGAGAGCATGGGTTTTTCAACATGGATGCTTTGTGGGAGCAAGCAGTACTGCCCCAAATCCAAATGAACAGTGACTCAGACATCTGAGTTCTCTTCCATTTTCCTGGAATTGCCCTTGTTGCTAGACTTCCTTGAAGGAACAGAACTGTATGGCACACTTTACTATGCATGCGGGCACGGGTATGGGCTCCTTCACGGTTCTGGGGTGGGGCCTGAGAGCCACATCCCTGCCGGGTCTAGACCTAACGAAGGGTCTGTACCTAATGATGCAAGCTGTGTAAAATAAAAAGTTAAACCTGGGGACAAGACTAATTAACTGCAGCAGATTGTTTCTGGAAACGTAGCACACAAAGCAGGAAATGTTTCCATTGTAGTTGTGTACATTGGGTGCATTTTGTAGTATGCCTGCTCATTATGACTGTTACTCCTTCATTGCTGTCTAAATGGCATATAGGTAGGCAAGGCCATATGGGTTGGGCAGAAGTGGCAGTAGGGGCAGACAGCAAGGATAGAGAGAAGGAATTTGCATCTCAGCGAGCATGCAAGTTAAGAGTTAAGTACTTGGCATAATGTAGTAGTGCGTTTCATATCCTAAAGTCACACCATGGGTATCTTTAAACTGTCTAGACCAGCACATGCATACAGATCCTCCCTTGGGGATCCCCTGAAATGCAGGTTCTGATTTGGTAGCTCACAGAGGGGTTCTGAGAGATTTGCATTTCTAACCAGCTCTCGGGATCACTTGGAATAAATAGCAAGCACCTCCAAAACTGCTGGACCCTGGAATGACTGCAGGGAGACCCAGGCCGCCCAGGAGACCACATCTCCCTGAGGGCCTGGGATGCATTTATTTTTGTGCTTCCTGTACCCCGAGCAGTGCCTGGTATAAAGTAGATGCTCACAACAATCTTTTCAACTGAACGGAAGAAGCTGGTGCCCCAGAGCCCATTTACTTTAGTGGCCTTGGAACGGCAGGAGTGTGGTGGCCCAGTCATAGCCTTTGCACTCATTTCGGCCCAGCCTGGTTATCACTTTACAGCTGTCTGCAGATAGGAAGTGTGAATTTGGCGGCAGAGGGGGACTCCTGGCACTAGCAAGGAGTGATAGCCGAGGGCTTGGCAGTGAGGACAGGGGACTCCAGGCACTCCAGGAGTGATAGCCGAGGGCTTGGCAGTGAGGACAAGGACAGAACACCCACATAAGAGACGCAAGAACTCAGTAACCACCGCCGTCTGGGATGATTAGCCAAGTGTCAAGTGGCCCTTCTCATTTCAGGAGGTCTGTGTTGTACACCCACATGCAACTCTATGCCTCCGTTTCCTCATTTGAAAAATGGGGAAACTTACGGTCCCCCTCTTGTAGGTTATATTAAGGACTGAGGCTTTTAGAGCTTTGGCAGGCTCAGCATGAGAGTGCAATAAACGTGAGCTGTAATTAGGATTGGTGTGTAAAGGGTTAAGCCCCAGCCTTCAGGGAGGTTTCTCCCAGAAGAAAAATCCCATTCCTGAGGTTGCACAGAAATGTGTTGGTATTTTGCCGCTAAAGGAGTAGGTGTAAATTAACATGCAAAGTGATTCCTCCAGAAGGCTGGGGGTGGTGAAATGGGCAAAGGAGAGGTTGCTACTTGTTCCTCATCCTCAGGCAGGTGAGGTGGAAGATGAACCCGTCTCAGGGGTG